TCAATAATGAGTAAATTCTTAATAGTTGGCGTGTTTTGCTTGAGCTGGACAAAATATTTGAGTTTTGCAGTAAAAATGCCACGAAAAGAGTTATCGCTTGAAGATCGTGGAAGGATTTTGCATCTCCACACAAAGGAGCAAAAGTCGTATGCAGAGATAGCAGAAATCATGTCCAGAAGCAAGTCTACTATACAGACTGTCATTGGTAGATTCAAATATGAAGGGCGCATCAAAAACAACAAGAGATCTGGTTGGCCACCTGTACTATCCGATCGTGACAAGCGCACAATAAAGCATCTGGTGGACAAGGATCATTTTTGTAGCGCAATGCAGATTGCGTCAGAGCTGGGTCGAACAATTGACAAGCAAGTTCACCCGGAAACAGTCCGTAGAGCCATTAAAACCTATAACTTTAGGTCCAACACGCCTCGCAAGAAGCCTCTTGTAAATTTAACAAACAGGAGAAAGCGCTTAGAGTTTGCCAAAGCCTACGTGGACAAGCCAATGGACTTCTGGCGGAAGGTCATCTTCTCATAACATTTTTGGCTCAGATGGGCTTCTCCGCGTCTGGAGGAGACCAGGAGAAGCATTGAACCCCAAAAATACAATAAAAACCGTACAACACTGCGGAGGTATTAGGGTTTGGGGTTGCATAGCTGCAGCAGGAGTCGGAAATTTGGAATTCATCGACGGAGTGATGGACCAATATGTGTACATTGATATTAAAAAAAAAATTTAAAGATCAGCGCCGAGAAACTTGGAATTGGGTCTGATTTCTGGTTTCAACAGGACAATGACCCAAAACATAAAGCAATGAATACTAGGTTGTATCTTGCGTACAACACTCCACACCTTTTAGAGGCGCCGCCACAGAGCCAGGATATCAATCCAATCGAGCATGTTTGTAATATGCTCGAAAAAGAAATAAGGAAGCCCCAAATCAGCAACAAAAACAGCCTGCGAGAGGCATTACACCAGGAGTGGTGCGCGATAGATCCCAAATATATCGAAAAATTGGTGCTTTAAATGCCAAATCGCCTCAGAGAGGTGATTAAGATGAAGGTTATCCCACAAGATATTAAATTTGAAGTTTAATTAAAAAGATTGTTCCTTATAGTTAGTAAGTTTATACTAGTTTGTAAGAGTACGTAGACTTTTGTTGACGCAGACATTGGAGTTCCTTTTGTTTTTAATTAATATTATTATGTTAAGTTTGAAATTTCACTGTTTTTCTTTTTTAGTTTAGAAGAAAATATATTAGTTTATAATCCTGCATAAAAGATTTTTAATTTAACAAAAATTTGGCCAAGTTTCAGGGTGATTCGCGCAAATACAAAAAAGAGTACGGTGACTTTAGTGGCACACTGTATGTACATATGTACATATGTGCATATGTTTTACATGCTCGAAGGGTTAAGGGGAGCTCGTCGAGCAGTGTCGACTAGAGCTTTCTTACTTGTTTTATTTCCATATGTACATACAATAAATACAATATGTATTTCAAAAACTTGTTTGTTGAAGCAGACCCAGCACCCGCACAATAAAAATTCAATTCCAGTGGGGCAACTGCTTTTTTCTGCCGATTAGATGATGGCAATGATTTTTGCAAATGTGTGTGTGAGAGAGAGAAAGAGAGAATGAAAGACACAAAGTGAAAGACATAAATAAAGAAATGAAATATGTATGTAGATATGTAAATAAAGAGGAGACAATCGCTGACTGTTATCAGCGTGCAGCTACCCGCTTTTCTACATTTGCTTCGACACGAGCTTCTCATGTGTGAGGATCCTCTCCATAATTACTTAGACAATGTTCATTAGTCATCATATACAAGCAATTGTGTAACTTCTTACGGCTTGTTGCTTATGCCACTTGTTAACTAATTACATATGGAAAGACGATTTAAGCGTGTTTGATGGAGACTGCAAATCGAGAATATGTTCCATGTGCGATCGAAGAGAAAGAAAAGTCAAAGCTGTGTCGTTTCTTATGAGTTAACTTACTTTCTCTTTATTTATGTATGTACATATGTATGTATCTCTGTCTTTGGCTGTTAAACTGACCGTCTGCCCGTTTTGCGCTTGTGTGTAAAATATAATGAAGGAATCCAGTGAAGAGTGAAAGCAGATAAACGTACACAGTCAAAAGTGTAAGTCGTCTGTGGTGCTGCGTCAGCTAAAGATCATTGACATATTTACATGAATTACTAGCTCAATGTGCGCGTGTATGTATGTATGTAAATGAGTGTATTGTAAGTATGCGAGAGTGTGTTCCACTGCTTTCCGGTAGGGCTTGACTTGCCAATCGATTAATCAACATTAACTGAATTTGAGAGGGAGACATTTTTTCATAAGTAGAGATTGGATCATGATTAGTAAGCCGCATGTTTCATTGAATTAATTGACTTCTCAATAACAGGTCTATTACGACAGCTTGAATTTTTCTTCCTTATTTTAAGATTGAACTGTCACAAAGCATGACCAAGAGGTACGACGTACATACATATGTATGTATGAAAGTCAATATTTCGATACTGCCAGTTGTATGTGGAATCTTCGCCAATAGAAATTCCACTAAATCCTAGCAGTTTACTATATTACCACTATTATAATCACCCAACGAGGGTCTGATAACTACTATATGAAAGCAGATAATTTCCAGTTGCGATTGAGCTGACCAACTTTGCTTAACCTATGACTGGTAATATTTATACCCTGAACCCATTGAAAATGGGAATTCAGGGTATAATGGTTTTATTAAAAATATGTAACAGGCAGAAGGAGGCGTGGCAGACCCCACAAGTATATACATATATTCTTGATCAGGGCGACGAGCTGAATCGATTTGGCTCTGTCCGTCTGTCCGCATTTTGAACGCGTCAATTTCAGAAGATATAAGAGCTACAGAGTTCAATTTTTTTCAAATGTGCGTATATGTATGTAGTGCGGATATCGTTTATCTTCAAAAATCGATAACTCTTCCTATTATTTTGTTATCGATTAAAAAGATGATCAAAAATAAGCTATTTAATTATATCGCCAATATCATTAAAGCTAGAGTCGCCCAATTTTATATGTAAGTTCATATGTATTTTATAGAATTTCGACTTATGCTATAATTCATCCCCCACCCCTATATCCACCCCCTCACCCACATATTTGTAAAAGGAGTACTGGTATTTCTCGTATAACGTGGTCTTATACAAAGCGATTACGATATAACGCGATTTGGAAAAATTAGGTTTCAGTACAACTCGAAATTTAGGCTTATATAACGCGAAGAGGAAAATACATAATTATAACGTGCAAAGATCTTTGAAGACAGTGAAACAAATTCATACCGTATGAAGTTTGAAGAATAACAATAAAGTTTTTAATAAACCTTTAATTTGTTTTAGTTTGTTTTTAATTTTTTTAATGTTCACATAATTATTAAAATTTTGTTTTTTTGAATTTTGATATACATACAAATGTATTATTATTCATATCTTGTATTGAGTTGAAATATATGTGCATCTGTTATTTTGTATGTATTTTATTGAAAAAAAAAAAACCTATTGGAACCTAACCCCCAAATTTATATGAAAACTATGTTTTAGATAACGCGGATTTACATAACGCACAATTCTTCTGGAACGTAACTATCGCGTTATACGAGGGATACCTGTATTTCAAATACTAGGCACTTGTGCTTTGGCACATACACGCAACTTAATGTTATAATCACGATCTGAAAGCTTAAGTCTCCATGAATGATCATGATCATGATCATAAATGCGTCCATGTGCCAAAGCACAAGTCTCTAGTATTTGAAATACGCCTTTTACAAATATGTGGGTGAGAGGGTGGATATAGAAATTATATAAAATACATATATTTATATTTAAATTTTGGAGACTGTAGCTCTAAAGGTGTAGGAGATATACATAATTAAATAACTAGTTTTCGATAAGGTTTTTAATCGATAATAAAATATCGGGATTAGTTTTCGATTTGGGGAGAAAAGCTCGACATGCGCCTGATATTCAGGGACCCAGGAAACAAATTTGAAGTCTCTAGCTTTTATATCTTCTGAGATCAACGCGTACATACGGACGGACGGACGGACAGACGGACAGGGCTAAATCGACTCAGCTCATCGCCCTGATGAAGAATATGTATACTTTGTGGGGTCTGCCACGCCTCCTTCTGCCTGTTCAACCACTGCAGCCAATGCGTGTTTATGCGTGTTTGCGTATGGCTGTGTATGTGTGTGTGCTGAGCGAATAATTATTGAAATATCAGTTGCTCGAAGGGTTCAGGGGATCTCGTAGTCGGGTAGTCTCGACTAGAGCTATCTTACTTGTTCTAAGCTGCGAGTGTACCTGAAAACCACAGCATGGTGGAAATAATTTATTGATAAAGAAGAAGCGAATAAAAATAAGAGCCCAAAATATTAAATTCGAAATCAGACAATGTTTATGATACTTACTGTTGCTGTTGCTACACGCTCATAGCCGTTTGTTATCGACACTTTTTTAAACACAGTTTTCCGCGAACAGGTTATAAAGCCAACGTCAACATAAGTAGCAACAACAATGCGACCATATGCACATATACTCCAACATGTATGTATGTATATATGTGCGTATGCCGAAACCCAACTAAAGCTCAAAGCGCCAACTTCAATAGCGACCACGGCGACTAGGAAAAACCGAAAATTAACTACGTTCGCTCAGTCGCAGTTGCCGCCTCAGCTCAGTTACCGACGAATGCGCTAAGCGACCGCAACGATAAACGGTAAACGTTAAGACAGTGAACAAAGCAAGAAGAGAAAGAGCAAAGTTAAAGCGAACAAGTGTCGAGTGGGTATTGATGTCTTTGCATGTCTGACTGCTCGGCTTAACGGTAGTGTGTGTGTCTGTCGGTCTGCATCTCTTTCTCCCGTTCGGGTTTCATTGATCATCTCTGCGTGTGCTTACATGAGAGAGTTGATTTCTTTTACTTTTTTTTTTTTTTTTTTTTTTTTGTTGAGTGTATGGTAAAGTGAAATGGCATTTGTTGAATTTTAAAAGCACGTAGCTTTACCTGAGCGCAGAGCAACAAATCAGACAGCGGGCCAAACATTTCATTCAGCTTGCAAATAATAAAATACCGCAACAACAATCTGGAGAAAATATTTGATAAACAGGGAAGACAGCAATTCATCAAGAGCAAAGCAAAACAATAACTTTAATCAACAGAAATGTAAGTTTAAAGAAAAGAAATCCTTATAGATATAACATTTAAAACAAAAATTGAATTAGGCACAGTGACTGCCAAACAGTTATACCGGATCAGAAAGCACTGTGTACACACAGAAACCAAATTTGACAATATAGGAATAATAATTTACAATGATTTAATAATATTTATGGAATTTAACTATTAATTCAAATAAATAAATACAATTAAATACAATTTTTTGAATAACGAAAATGAAATAAAAAATTAATTTTATTATGTACAACAATTTTTTTTTACCGTGAAAATATGTAATATTAGAAATTTTATTAGCAATTTTGCTGGTCAATGTTTTAGTATTTACATATGTACATACATATGTATGTATGTACGCACTATTCTTTTTCAGATTCGCTCTATTTGAATTATCAAATCACATAACTTTATACATATGTACATATGTATTTATAATTAATGTTCTTTTTTCTTTAAAGACATTAAATGTTGATATTTTAAAAATTCTTCGCTTCTTTTCTGCCTACACAAGAAACAGTACATGCATATACGCGCACAGACAGAGAGACACACATTGGCACTGCACGGATAATACACGGACTTACTTATTGTCTGTCTGTCGGCATGATTTAGCGCGTCGATCTCAAAAGATATACATACATACATACATACGAACTAAAGACTTGACAATTTTTGTTGGAAAGTCCGAATATTCCTGCTTTTGGAGGTAATGTCCCGGTGTCCCGACCTAACACGGAATTTTCCAGGGTTTCTGCTGTTTTGATCAAAACAAGTAAGAACGTTGCAGTCGGGCGATACCGATTGCAGAATACTCATTCACAGTGTAAACGCTGTAAACCAGCGAAGATAGTGCAATTTTCAAGTCTAGTGCGCAACAAAAAAGCAGTGGTGCGGGTGCTAAGGGCCACGCAAATTATGTTAGAGTAGGGTGAATTGCAAATTTTTATAAATTTAAGCTTCTTTTATATTTTTTAAATTTCATAAAAATGTTTCTTTCCGTATTATGAATATTTATTAAGCTTATTTATATGTACAAATACATAAATAGATGGCTGACGCATATAAATGTGGCTATTCGGGCACTATAAATGCCGATTTGCCACGCCCCTAGTAGGCGTAGATATATATTTTTTCAGCCATCTTTATAGAATTAAAACATCAGCTTACATCCAAAATTTCAGCATTCTAGGTTTATAACTTTAGGAGATACAGTTTTATCCGATTTGCCATGCCCCCAATGGGCGGAGATATATCCGCCATAGCTTGTGATCTTGGGTGATCGACGCGGACCTACATACCATTCAGCTTTCTAGCTCTTCAACAAACATGATTTCTGGTATATCGGAAAATGCATTTTCCGACTTGCCACACCCCTAGCGGGTGGATCGGGAAAATTTTAACATTTTATAAATCGGAGATATACACGAGTGTGTGTTTCAAGTCTCTAGCTTCAATAGCGCCGAAATAGATTGCGTTCATACAAGCAGACGGACGGACGGACAGACGGACGGACAGCAAGACGGACATTGCACAAAACCACTATACTAATTCACTTTCGTGAATGAGTATAATAATTCATTTTCGTGAATGAGTATAATAAGCTTAATAGATATTCATAATACGGAATGAAACATTTTTATGAAATTGAAAAATATAAAAAAAAGCTAAAATAATAAAAATTTCCAATTTACAAAAAAGAGTTTTCCGCGGGATTTGAACTCGCATCCAAGCGGAATAGCATGTTCATGTAAAAATACATATCTAAAATAAAGATCGCCGGCGCTTCTGCCTACAGCACCACCGCATCGTTTCGAGCAACAGTAGTCAAAACGAAATCACATTTTGGTTATGACGCCATATAGCAAAGAAAATCCAGTGCAGCGGTTGGGAATTCAAAAACAATGCAAAGACAAATCAATCGCAACGGAGATTCTTAGAATATGCTAGAGTTCGCATTTATGTGTGCATACATACACACATACAAATGAGCGCGTGTTTAAGGCTGGAATGCTTGATGCTATGCGTGCAGACTTACATACATATATGTATATACATATATACATACATATGTATGTATTTGCGTATATGTATTTGAAGGCTTTTTAAGAAGAAACAAATTTAAACCTATAAAATTATTCGACTAAGAACAAGTAAGAAGACTCTAGTCGAGACTGCTCGACAAGGAGATACCCTGAACCCTCTAATCTGATATTCTAATCACTCTGCACTTCTTTTCGGCACACATGCACGCACGTATTAGAACGCGCTCTGCTAACTGCGCAATAAGCAGCGACTGCGCTTGGGCTGCGCTGCAATGTGGGCAACATTATAAGAATTTATTTGTTGAATAATTTAATTTTTAGACATACAATCTTAATGAAACTTTTAGAACATAATTATAATATTCAAATGTGTGTACATTCCAAAGCACAAGTCTCTAGTACTTGAAATACGCCTTTTACAAAGGTGAGGGTGAGGGGGTGGGGGGGTAAATTACAACAAAAATCGAAATTATATAAAATACATATAAGTCTACATTTAAAACTTGGAAGCTCTAGTTTTAAAGGTGTAGGAGATATAATTAAATAACTAGCTTTCGATAAGGTTTTTAATCGATAATAAAATATCGGAAGTAGATATCGATATATAGAGAACAACTTGATATGCGCGTGATATACACGGACCTAGGAAAAAAAAGTAAGAACGTTGCAGTCGGGCGTTACCGACTGCGGAATACTCATTCACATCCCATCAACAATTTAGTAGTTAAGTTTCGCTCTAATACTGTAGAATATACAGGTTTTTCCGATTTGCCACGCCCCAACTGGGCGTAGATACCTCATTTTTGGCCAGTTTTTAGAAAGAGATAACGGTACCCTAACTGCAAAGTTTGAATGCTTACCCTCAAAAAATGTGAAAATTACAGGGTATTTTTCGATATGCCACGCCCCTAAAAAAGCGTAAAAATTATTTTTGGGGAATCGATAGAGGAGGCTACCAGTAACTCAACTATCCAAATTTGAAGCTTCTAGCTATTATACTTTAGGAGATATAAACTTTTGCGGTTTGCCACGCCCCCTGTGGGCGGACATATATCCGACAAAACTTTTTGGTCTTGGGTGATCAGTCTGAGTATATATACAAAATTTGAGGTCTCTGCCATCAATAGTGTCCAAAATATAGGAGAATTTAAAAAATCACTATATCTTCAGGTCCGATTTACCACGCCCCCAATGGGCGTAGACTTATAATTTTATCTTTAGACTTTATAGAATCATACCATTAGCTGACGTGCAAAATTTCAGCATTCTAGCTGTAAAACTCTTGGAGATACAGTTTTATCCGATTTGCCACGCGCCCAATGGGCGTAGATATATCCGCCATAGCTCGTGATCTTGGGTGGTCAACGCGGACCTACATACCAAATTTCAGCTTTCTAGCTCTTTAACTAACATGATTTCTGAGATATCGCAAAATGCATTTTCCGATTTGCCATGCCCCTAGTGGGCGGATCGGGAAAATTTTAACACTTTATAAATCGGAGATATACACGAGTATGTGTTCCAAATTTCAAGTCTCTAGCTTCAATAGCGCCGAAATAGATTGCGTTTATACGGACAGACGGACGGACGGACGGACAGACGGACAGACGGACGGACAGCAAGACGGACATTGCACAAAACCAATATACTGATTCACTTTCATGAATGAGTATAAAAATTTCAAGTCTAGCTCTTATATCTTCTGAGATCGACGCGTTCATACATACGGACGGACGGACGGACAGACAGACGGATAGGGCCAAATCGACTTAGCTCGTCGCCCTGATCAAGAATATATATACTTTGTGGGGTCTGCCACGCCTCCTTCTGCCTGTTACATACATTTAACAAACCATTATACCCTGATTTCCCATTGAAAATGTGTTCAGGGTATAAAAAGAAAAGTATTAAGCTAGGTACACACGATGCAAACAATTTGCAGCAAGTTGATTGCTGCAATCAAATTTGCACGTTTGAACACGAGTGCAAACATTTTGCTGCAAACAAAAAATTTGCAATAACTGTTTGCGGCAACTTTTTTTGCTTATCGTCTGAACACAGAATTTTGCCGTTAGTTTGGTTGCGTCAGTTGTTTGCTTGTTTACATGTGCTGTTTGCTTTCAGCCGCAATATTGCAGCAAGCAAAGCAAAATGTGGGATCGTGAGAAAACGATTGAATTAATTGAATTGTACGAGAATTTTTTAGTTTTATAGGATGTTTCGTCAACAGACTTTAAAAATAACTATAAAAAGCAAAATGCTTATCGCGAAATTGCTAAAAAAAATGTACTTTTTCTAATAAAAAATTAAAATCACTGACTGGCATGCGTAAATTGTAATAGTTTTTTTCATCACCATATTGTTGCTCTTCTCAAAGGTTCTGATGCACTCCTTTTTCATCTCTTTTAGAAATCCACTCTTTCACCCAACACTTTTTTTTTTGGCAGACTTTGATCTTTTTAATTTTTTTTTTTTTTTTTTTTATCAAGCAGCAACTTTTGATTGTTGTGTCGACATAATATAAACACGTCGTTATTCCTTGAATTTTTCAATTCAACTGAACTTGCAAATGAGTGTCACTTGCAAGCAGTGCAAACAAAAACCAAAAATGAAAACACGTGTAGACATTAATGCAATTTATTGAACGAAATGGCCATGCAAAAGTTTGCGTGCAAAACAAAAATTGATTGCAGCAAGTAATTTGTATGCAATATTTGCATTGGTGTGAACATTTGTGCAAACTTTTGCTGCAAATTATTTTCAACTTGCTGCAAATTGTTTGCATCGTGTGTACCTAGCTTTAGGTGCCATTCATTCAAGATCGCACCTTCCCAATAAAATATCTATTTTATAAAGAACGAAATGTACATGAAAAAAAAGAACATCGAAGAAATTTCGAACCTCCCCTACTCTAACATATTTTGCGTCGCCCTTAGCACCCGCGCC